AATAGATTATTCCATGTTATACCTTAAAAAATTATATTAGTATTCCTATAATTACGAAAGTAAAATATCTATATTTATTTACCAAAATATCATCGATTTACTAATAAAAATATAAAAATTTAAAAATAAAAAAATAAATATAAAAATATATCCCTCATCTCTCGTCATCATCATCCGTCACCATCGACGTCGTCTACTATCATCGATATTATCAATTAAAATATCAAAATTATATTTTCATCTTTTATTTTAATATTTTTATTGATACAATCGATAATTTTAGGATAAATATATTTAAATATTTTATTTTTATAATTATAAGAATGTTAATATAATTTTTTAAAGTATAAAAATCGGGATGACCCCACCAGCAAGACCTGACTATTATATTAAATAATGAATGTGCAAGCAAGCAATTACTAACCTTGAGAAAGGATAGATTTGTAAAACCGTATCCCCACCAATAATCTCTGCAGCTTCCAAAAAGTAGGTATTGGTTTGTTTGGGTGTGATTTTTCCACCTCACTCTGTCTCTCTCTAAATTTCATTATTCCATTGCCATTATTTTGACAAAGATGAATTACTAAATAAATAAATAAATCTCTCTTACACACACACACACATATATATATATAATAAATATATAAAAGATATAAAATATATAAATGGATATTTTGTACTGAGTTCAACCTTCTCACACTCCATTCTATATAACAAGCCCTGGAGTGGTTAATCTTGAAGAAGATATCCTCCTCTCCCTCCTCATGGCTTCTGCTATCATCTTCCTTCTCCTCTTGGCCGCGGCGGCGATCGCCTCAGCTGTCCCCGACTTGTACATGGTGACCAGCGGGGAGGGCCACAGCGAGCAGGTGTCCGGGCGGAGCGAGGAAGAGGTGCGTCTGCTCTACCTGGAGTGGGTGGCCAAGCACCGGCCGTCCCGCAACGCGCTCGCGGAAGAGGCGAGCAGGTTCGAGGTGTTCAAGGACAACCTCCGCTACATCGACGCCCATAACGCGGCGGCCGACCGCGGGGAGCACGCCTTCCGCCTTGGCCTCAACCGGTTCGCCGCCCTGACCAACGAGGAGTACCGGGCCAAGTATCTAGGCGTCCGGGCCGCCACGTCCCGCCGGAGGAGGGCCTCATCGGAGGGCAGCAACCGGTACCGGCTGAGGGACGGCGATTATTTGCCTGATTCCATCGATTGGAGGGAGAAGGGCGCTGTTGTCGGCGTTAAAGATCAAGGCAGCTGCGGTGGGTGCTGATATTTTCATTTCTCCCTGCGTTGACTTCAATTAGTTGCAATTTCTGCTCTATTGTTCTGTTTGCTTTCTGCTAATAACACTTTAAATCTGATATTATTTTCATTTAATTACATTTACATGAAGATCGATCTTTTCCTCTCTTTTTTTTCCCTCCTTGTGAAGTTTCCCCTTTTCTTCGGTTTTGACTTTTGGTAAACGACATGATTTTGCTTCCTACGATGTACTAAAGGTGTTGTATTTTGGATGATCTTCGAGTAGATCTGCTTTCAGATTCTGTTTCAGCCCCTCTTTTTTGTGTAAACTTTGCTTACTCTACAAAATTATTTACTGCTAGTATCACATGTAGTTCATGATTCATCTGTTTCAGCCCCCCCTTCTTGTGTAAATTTTGCTTACTCTACAAAACTATTAACTGCTAGTATCACACTTAGTTCATGATTCAGGATCTTATCCTGTTAGATCAAGTCACCAATGAAGGATTTTTTTGGTTTCAAAGATCTGAATTGGCATGCTGATGATATCTAGATCTGATGGTGTCACAGGGAGCTGCTGGGCATTTTCGACGATTGCTGCTGTGGAAGGTATCAACCAGATCGTGACTGGCGACCTGATCTCTCTGTCCGAGCAGGAATTGGTGGACTGTGACACCTACTACAACCAGGGCTGCAACGGGGGGCTCATGGATTATGCCTTTGAGTTCATCATCAACAATGGTGGTATCGACACCGATGAGGACTACCCATACAAAGCCCGAGATGGAACTTGCGATACTTACAGGGTGACCTATTGATTAGTCATTTACAACTAGCAACCCCCTTTTTTTCCTGTTGCTTTGTTGTTTGTGGATGATGTTCTAATGAAGTTTGGTGCCCGCCTTTGTCATGTAGAAAAATGCACATGTTGTGGCAATTGACTCATATGAGGATGTTCCGGTTAACGATGAGCAGTCACTGCAAAAAGCAGTTGCTAACCAACCGGTTAGTGTTGCTATTGAAGCTGGTGGCAGGACATTCCAGCTTTATGACTCGGTAAAGTTGCCACAAGATAATGCAATTTTATATTTTTACCAATTTTCTTTGTTTATAAAAATTATGTCACGGCTTAAACTACTACTTGATCTTTCTTTGAACCGATGTTCTAATCCTTATGGAAGCTTGCAGATTTTTATACTTCCACATTATGGTGACCTAGGTTGAAAATCTTTAATCACTTCTGATTGAATTGATTGTCATTTGATACAGCAACAACAAATGTTTTAACAATTTGGGACTGATTATGTATATCTTTTTTTACTGATTGAACTCCATTCAACACAATATTTCTGGTTAAGTCAAGGACATTCAATTTTCTTTTATTGTTTTTAGTAAAGAAATTTTCAGTCTGTCTCTCTCTCCAATTTTTTCTCGCACCACCATTAATCAACTCACCTCTTCTAACCATACTATCTACAGATTTTTTTTGAATATTTTTATAATATCTTAGATGATTTTTTCTTATTTTATAGTTTATCGGATTACAACTATTTGTTCACAAATAAATATCTGTTTAGTCTTCTCTTATGGCTCTGCATACCTATCTCAGCATTTTCATGCGAGCTATATAAGCTTGTCAGACATATTGATTTGCAACTGTCCAATACTTCAATTCATTAAACCACAACAGTCTTTTATACTCAATCTCCCTCTCCATCTTAACCACCAAACTTGTGAAAAGTATCTCCATTATTCCTTTTTATCAGGTTGAATGATAAATTTGAAAATACTTAAAATAATTTTCATGTATGATCTTATCCATCCATCCCAACGTCACCCTCACTTCTTCTCTTAAATTATGTAAAATTATAGTTTATATTCAATATTAGTAAATTTTAATCTATAACCTTTAATTTCTAAGATTTGCTCTGCAATTCAAGTTTAAAATTTTATTCCAGCTAAAATTCCATATATTAAAATGATATCATTTGCAAATAGCATATATGATTAGTAAGTTTGCCTATTATAAAGACCATAATATGTTTATGTTGCATCAGAATTTAGATTCCCTAAAATTTTTTATGAATCTGTGGTTTTTCTGTCTCTAGACTGATATAATTTCTAATGTGTGTGGTTAATTAATACGGAAGATGCTGCAAACAGACAAATTGCACTAGAAATAGAAATTTCTAATAAACCCTTCCCATGATAATACAAACACATTAAGCGGCATGGTTTGAGAATTATGATCTATTGTTTGTGATATGAAATTTAGTTGGTTAATAATCTTCTTGAAATTCTACGAACGATTTAGATGATGCCATCTTAGTAGTGGCACTGGTTCCATTTGATGATGGATTTGCTTTGTGATATGTGATGTACATATATCTCCAGTTTTGCTGCCTAATATCTCATGTAACTTTTTGTTGCAATAGTTGAAAAATCAAAGACTGATTATAATTATATATATATATATATATATATATATATATATATATATATATATATATATATATATATATATAT